TCTGTTTCTATACCTTGGAAAACCAAGTGCCATAAAGGGCAAGTGGCTGGCTCAAGGTCACACAGGTTAACGCTGAAGCCAAAGACAAAACCTCTTTTGACGCTCCTCATTGAACGTCACACACGGGGGTTGTTGGAGTGAAATTTGATTTAATTATGTGGATAAATTAAAAGAAAAATAATATCAGGAGAAGGTTTTATTGGACATTTTTGTGCCAGAATCTCTGCTCAAGGTCCTTAAAAGCTTATTTCATTTAATCTTTTCTGTAACCCTGCGAGGCAGGCATTAGTGTCCCCTTTGACAGATAAGCCAGGAATCTAAGAAGGTCAGTGATTCCCCTAGTGCAAAGCTGCTGGTTTGAGATGGGAAAGGGGCACAGTCCCCCACTCTACCGCCTCTACAAACGGGGGCCACAGAGGAGCCTGGGCCAGTGAGGAAGGGACATGGCACATTGCATCAGCCCTCATTTTCATGATTTTCTTGCCACTCAGATTGTTTTGCCATGAAACTCAAGTTGTACAAATGTCTCTGCAAAGAATGGCCTATTTTGAAGAGAACACCTGTTCTCTAACCGTTCCAGCCGATGGTGCAATCTGGTGGATTCCGAAGCTATTTGCTAATGCACTGGGCTTCTCAGGGGTTTGGCTGCATGACTCCCAGGGGAGGGGGCGGTGGATATTATTCTTTGCTTGGCAGCCCTCGCCTGGTGGGAAAGCACAGGGTGTGTGCACAGCACTGAATCTACATAATTGGACGGGACCCAAATGGAGCAGGCACAGGAAAAGAATCAAATCTGAAAATATCCCACAGAGCTAATCTCCATGAGCAAGTTCAACACTTAGCACCCACAATCAGCTGTTTCATCTGACTCTTGTAGAAGACAGGGATGTCTGCTTTGACACACATCCTCAAAAATAGCTAATGCAAAGACATTTCAAAAGGAAAAAGAACTACACTATTTCATGTGCCTCCTAAGTCTATTTCTATAATAAATTTATACATATTAACTCTTAAATTCTTTCCTAAAAATATATAGGAAGGTCTATATTATTATCCCGTTTCAAAGTTAAGAAAGCAGTTTCCCTAAGAGTTAAAAAGGTTCTCCAAATCATTTAGTATTTATCATACCAGGTATTTGAAACCAGAATTTTCTCTCTACCATATTACAATAGTCTCAGGAAAAGAGATTTGGCTAGGCCAAGCCTGTCACGTCATCTGCAAGGTATCTGCAGGGCCAAAGTGCTCTTGTTATCTGCCCCACTTTGCCGCCCTCCATCACACCCACACCAGGTCTGTGGGGAGCGTCACTCAGCAAGCCGTGAGCAGTCTGTGTGGCTTCACTCTTTGCTACTCAGCTTTCTGCATGTTCACGGTACACACACTTGTGTCAAACCTTCATTCAGTGCACAATTCCTGAGCACTAATCATGTGTGCCAGGCACAGTGTTGGGTCCTGGAGATGCTGAACTGAAGAAGGTAGTCTACCCACAGCTCGTTGGAGCCCAGTGGAGAAGAGACAGAGATGCCTAGAGTGTTTAAGAGAAGTAAAAGAACAAACCAAACATTTAATAGACACAAAAATTAAAAGTTATCTGTTGATGCTAATGTATATGGTCCTATCTTTAACTTGACTGCTATGCACTATATTCACGCTGGGAAAAACCATGCTGCACGCTGTATAGATGTGCAATGATTAAATATAAATAAAAATAAATTTTAAAAGGAGAAGGTATGTCTTCCTAGGAAGTCAAGGAATGCTTTCACAGTGGTAAAAGCATCTGAACAAGATTTGGGAGGATGTGCAAGAAATTGTGCATTAGAATTCCTTCTGTGAAAATATCTTAAGATAATAATTTTCATATGCACCTATGTGACCAGCAAAGGCCCTTGGCTTGGGAGATAAGTGTTGAAAATGTTTCCAATTGGTCTGTGACTACTGGTGTTCTCTCATGCTCCGGGTCATATTCCTTGGAAAAGGAGTCTGATCTGAAGATGTTCAGTTAGTAAGTATACAGGAGAGTCCCTCAGGCCAGCAGGGTGGGGTTCTAACAGAAGCTGGACTGTTACATGGTCAATACAAAAGCTTCAGCACACATGGGAGGCTTTGCTGAAGGCCTGTCCTGCAGAATTGGCTGCCACTGCTCCCAGCAACAGGGGGATTAATCTGAGGATTATCTAGGAGGCACACCACAGCATCCACTGTAAGACGAAGAATCTGTACTGGGCCTTGAGATAAGGAAAGGCAGGAAACTCTGCTTTCTGTCCTTGCCCAAACCCATGCTGCAGCCCTGGAGCCGACCATGCATGTGTGGTTCTGTGATGCGCCTGCCCAGGCTGCCGGGCTCACTGCTTCCACACACGTTCACTCACTGAGTCACTATCTACTGGGTTCTGTGTCAGGGCCAAGAGCAGCAGATTCTGAGAAGCAGAGTGGTGCCCCAGGCCCCGAACCTACAAGACATTGTGGTCCACCCTCATGCTGGTCTTATTTGGCTTTAAACAGGATCTGTTTCTGTTCCTTCCATGGTACCAAGTCCTGTTCTGACTTTAGGTCCCCTGTCCCTCAGGGATCTAGACATCTCTCCTCTATATTTGTTAGGATGGTAAGAACATGGACCACAGCAGCTTGGGCCAGATGGAGACATAACTTGGGCAGATTTTGCACTCAGACCTCCTGGCTGGGTCACAAAGTTGGAGAAAGTGGTACGACAGGGGAGCAAGCTGAGCACACTCCTGATATTTTGAACAATCTGAGTCTGGAGCCCAGCTGCACGGGAAGACGGAGACCTCTTTTCAGGGTAGCTAAAAACGACAACATTTTACACATACCACGGATGTGTGGTAGTTAGTTTTATGTATCAACTTAACTGGACCATAAGGTAGCCGGATGTTTGGTTAAAGCTTGTTCTGGGAAGGCCTGAGTGTATTTCTGGATGAGGTAAACATAAACTAGTAGACAGAGCAGGACAGATCGCCCTCTTCCATGTGGATGAAAGTCACTCATCTGTTGAAGGCCTGAATAGAACAAAAAGACAGAGTGAGAGAGAATTTTGTCTTTTATTGACTATCTCTGATCTGGCGCATCAATTTTATCTTCCTTTGGACTTAGCCCTGGACTGGAACTTACACTCTTGGCTCTCCTGGTTCTCAGGCTTTTAGACTTTTAACTGGAACTATGTTCCTTGCATTCCTCACTGTAAGACGAAGAATCTGTACTGGGCCTTGAGATAAGGAAAGGCAGGAAACTCTGCTTTCTGTCCTTGCCCAAACCCATGCTGCAGCCCTGGAGCCGACCATGCATGTGTGGTTCTGTGATGCGCCTGCCCAGGCTGCCGGGCTCACTGCTTCCACACACGTTCACTCACTGAGTCACTATCTACTGGGTTCTGTGTCAGGGCCAAGAGCAGCAGATTCTGAGAAGCAGAGTGGTGCCCCAGGCCCCGAACCTACAAGACATTGTGGTCCACCCTCATGCTGGTCTTATTTGGCTTTAAACAGGATCTGTTTCTGTTCCTTCCATGGTACCAAGTCCTGTTCTGACTTTAGGTCCCCTGTCCCTCAGGGATCTAGACATCTCTCCTCTATATTTGTTAGGATGGTAAGAACATGGACCACAGCAGCTTGGGCCAGATGGAGACATAACTTGGGCAGATTTTGCACTCAGACCTCCTGGCTGGGTCACAAAGTTGGAGAAAGTGGTACGACAGGGGAGCAAGCTGAGCACACTCCTGATATTTTGAACAATCTGAGTCTGGAGCCCAGCTGCACGGGAAGACGGAGACCTCTTTTCAGGGTAGCTAAAAACGACAACATTTTACACATACCACGGATGTGTGGTAGTTAGTTTTATGTATCAACTTAACTGGACCATAAGGTAGCCGGATGTTTGGTTAAAGCTTGTTCTGGGAAGGCCTGAGTGTATTTCTGGATGAGGTAAACATAAACTAGTAGACAGAGCAGGACAGATCGCCCTCTTCCATGTGGATGAAAGTCACTCATCTGTTGAAGGCCTGAATAGAACAAAAAGACAGAGTGAGAGAGAATTTTGTCTTTTATTGACTATCTCTGATCTGGCGCATCAATTTTATCTTCCTTTGGACTTAGCCCTGGACTGGAACTTACACTCTTGGCTCTCCTGGTTCTCAGGCTTTTAGACTTTTAACTGGAACTATGTTCCTGCCATTCCTGAGTCTCTGGCTTGCTAACTATAGATTCTGGGACTTCCTCACCTCCATAATCATGTGAACCAGTTCTCTCTATATTTATGCATGTGTTTATATGTGAAAATGTATGTATGTGTGTGTGTGTGTGTGTGTGTGTGTGTGTTCTGTTTCTCTAGAGAACCCAGAATAATGTAGACTGGTTAATTGGGAAGAGGTTACTAATAAAAATAGATCCTATGTTAGTTGGTTCAGGAGGGACAGGAACAAGAAACACAGTGTGTGACAAAGTCCTACACGTCACAGAAGGATACAACCTGTTTCTTGGGAAGACAGAACAAAGGGAAGGCTGGGATGTGTATCTACTTAGCAAACACTCTGCGTAACACTCCTGGAGATGGGCCCCACTCCACAAATGGGAAAACTGAGGCTCAAGGATGAGCACATGAGAGGTGGAGCCGGGTTTTGAAACCAGGCATGGCTCAATGGCAGGGACTTCTGATGTCATCACTTAGTCTGAGAGAAGACCCTTCACCCACACAGTGTCCTGACCACCAAAGCACGGTGTTCTTCAACAGAAATACATATAAAATAAACCATATGAAGACCATATTTTCTGTGTCTACCCAAGGGCTTGGCATTAAGAACAGGTCTGATAAATGTTACAGTGAAATATTGGGCTGTCAGAAAAGTCGTGATGCATTCTTTGCCTAGGAAAACAGAAAAATACATCATGACTTTTCCAACAATAGAATAGATAGACGGCAGATAGTGAGAGGACGCGCACCCTGACAAGGGCCGTTTGCGAGTCAGGGGCCACTGAGCCCTGCGCAGACATTACCTCTGACGAGGCTGGCTTGCAGTATCCAGCTCCAAAGACCAAGTTTTCCAGAGAAATGACAGACTGCTCCTGTCCTGTGTCTGGGCCACCTTTACCAAGCCAGGAGCCTCTTCCTGGACGAGTAAAACTGAAAAGAAAAGAGAAAAAGGATAAATATATGCATCCAGATAGATAGAAGGCTAGCTATAGATGGATATAAAACCAATTAATGCAATTGACTGAGTCCGCTGAGTGTTTTACTGGGAGCCCATGCGAGTCATTTAGAATGAGCAGTTCACCTCCCCGCAAGTTTTGGACCAGGCATTCTGGGTGCTGTGAGGATGGGGAGGTGCGACTGGTGTGTGAGCTTGGGAGCCAAGGATGACACACGCTCTACAATGTGCACCAAGAGACACCATTCCTAAATGCCAGCCACAGGCCTTCTGAGTTACGGAGGCAGAGCCCCAAGTTTATGTCAATTGGAGGACCAGATGGAATGGGGCCCTGGCTCCATTTAAGAGAACAAAGGCAGCCTCATCACAGGACAGAGTCCTGTTCCTGCTCCTTATGGTGGCATACCATGGAGTGAGCTCCTTCAACCTCCTGCCCCTCCCTGAACCTCCATTCTCCTATGGAAAACATAAATTGGTATTTATTACCATGACTTAAGCAAGAGCCCAACACATCACCAAAGACTCGTGCCCATAAAGTACTTGCTATGTTCATGCTAGCTGGGAATGTTATAATCCGTTCAACCAACAAAGCTGCAGACCCTGTCCAGCCCTGCATTTCATTGCAAAGACCAACTGACATGGCATCTGTTAATCTTAGAATTGAAAAAGATTAGCAAACTGTGTGATTATTTGAATTTATCTTATTTGGGCTTATGAAAATCTCTTCCTACCTTCACCCTTCTGATTTCTTTTTATTTTCCCTCTTATTATTTTTTTCATTTACTTAACATTCAATCATTGTGAATCATTAAAGCATAACAAATGAATTTCCCCTCCCAAATACACTGTATATTGGTTCAGTCAAAGATATTACCATACATATTATCAACAGATAATTTTCCATGTTTGTGTCCCTTAAATCTTTCTTTCTTTTCCCTTTGATTCCTTTCTGATTTCCACCGGTCAATATATTAGCATAGTCTACTTAAGGTCACTTTTACTCATTGTTCAGATGTTCTGTTCAATATCCAAATGGTTATATATTATAAATACTATTTCACTGGTATGGTTTCTTCCCCCAGTGAGATTTAAACTCTCTGAGGGCAAAGAGGGTCTGAATAAGTTGCCTGGTACTATAGATACTCAAGGAAGGATTTAATCTAAGAGACCCATGTCCATCTTAAAATATGATAGAGAAATAAAGTGAACATCATGTTTCTGTTTAACCCATTTATTCAAGTGTCGATTAGGCTCATGCACCACTCAGGGTAGGGTGTTAGGTGATAGAGTGGCACAGTGACCAAGCTATGGATGGCCTTCACATTGGAAATATGTTGATCTTGAGAGGGAGGCAAACAAACTTATACACGTAATACAGTAGAGGTAAATCCAGGCCAGTGAGTGGAGAAGAAACGTTCATAAAACAAACCAGGTGAAAAGAATGAATGGCTAGGGAATCAGCAGTTAGCGTAATGGCTATGTCGCTGGACTCCCACGTAATCGACCATGGTTCACGTCCCGGACCCGGTGGCTTAAAACTCACACCGGGCATGTGTGCATGCATGCCCAAGATCCCAAGAGGAGAATGGAGGAGAAGGGACTGCGGCGTGACCATCCCCCCCGGGGGGCTGATTTCTTGCTTTCTGTCTCTCTGTCTCTCTCTGTCTGTCTGGTGAGCACATGCGCCCTACAGTGAAAATATCTCAAAAAAAAAAAAAATTAAGAATGAATGGCTAGAGATGATAGAGTAGAATATGGCAAAAAGGTGAAGAGGCAGCCCCTGAAGCCAGTCTGCCAGCTTAGAACCCTCACAGTACGGCTGACAAGCTGTGTGACACGGGGCAGGTTCGAACTTCCCTTGCCTCTGTTTGTTTTTATTTATTTTTGTTTTGGAGAGGTTTTTGCTATAGGGAGCATGCACTCACCAGACAGATAGAGAGAAACAGAGAGACAGAAAGCGAGAAATCACCCCCCCAGGGGGGATGGCCACACCGCAATCCCTTCTCCTCCATTCTCCATCCCTTCTCCTCCGTTCTCCTCTCGGGATCTTGGGCACGCACGCACACGTGCCCAGCGTGAGTTTTAAGCCACCGGTCTGGGACACGAACCACAGTCGACTACATGGGAGTCCAGCGACATAGCCATTACACTAACTGCTGGTCCCCCCTTGCCTCTGTTTATTCCCATGTCAAAGTGTGGATAATAGCATTGTAGCCATGTAGGAATGCTCTGTTATTACTCAAGGACAGCTTTAAGTAAGTATCTGACAAAAAGCAATGATACAGTCAATGTTAGCAATTGTTGTTGATTATACAAAAATAAAATGTACAATAATCATGTTCACATAGTTATTGTTAATACTACCACAAATACAATAAAATGTAGCTGTTATTCTAATTTGTTTCGAGGGTTAACTAGGGCTACAATTTAGCTACAGGGTGGATAGAAGAACACTCCAGAAGAAAAGTAGAACGTGTGTGTGTGTGTGTGTGTGTGTGTGTGTGTGTGTGTCTATGGCTCATTCAGGAGACAGATTATAAATTAATCATTAAAATAGTTCATTATTTACATAAGTATAGCTATTGGCTAGCTTTTTCAGCACATCAGAATCTCTCAGGTGTAATCTAATTGTACCCTATTGAAGGTTGGTGATTGGATTATTTTTTCCAGGCTTTTTCAGTGAAGGTTAAGAGTCTTTTGAGGTTAAACATTAGTGTCATACCTGCTTTCTATTGATCATATTTTACTGATGCTGCAAAAACTGCTTTTCTGGAAAAGCTAGTGCTTGCCCTAGTTGACACGTATTTCCCACAACCTTAGAGAGTTCCCTTTGTTCCCAGCTACTGTGAGCCATCCCATAGAAATCCTTCCTGCAAAATCCACAGAAGACGGTTCTATTTTTACCCTATCCCTGGAGAAACCTAGCTCTTACTGTGAATTCCTATCTGTGCTCCTTTCCAACAAACTTGCTGCAGACAAACTTGCAAGAGACTGTTTCTGTCGGAAAGTTAAACTTTTTACTGAGTCCCCAGATTCCCAGATCCTCATTTGAACGATATCAGTAGCAAAAGGAGCAAAACCAGCCCCTCACCACCGTTTCAGTGGTGCAGCCAGTCCTACTGCATCCACTCTGATGTAACTTCCAGTCCAACGCGCTCAGGGCAGCTGGAGCAATTTTGCAAAACACAGGTCTGACCATGTTGCTCTCCTGCCGAAAGCCCTTGGTGTGTCCTTCTTATATAATAAACAAATGTTCAATGCCTTAACCTGTCACTAATCATACCGCTAAAGCAGGGCCCCCATTTCCCATCCAGGTTAGTTGTCACTGGCACCGTCTCATCTCCTGATTAGAGCACCAAAGTAATTTCTTCTATAAAGGCATTCCCCATGCCCCTTATTCAGAGCCATTCCTTCATGCTAAAAGTTACCTGCCTCTTATTAAGAGGATATTATGGGCTAGAAATGAGGCCTGGATAAGGGCCTGGTGTATGGTAGGTGCTGAATAAATTTGAATCAGTTGAAACAATGGCCAACGAATGGTTTTGCACGTACGATCTCACCGAATTCTCCTGGTAGCCTCGTTGTGCACTGAGACTGATGGGCACGTGCTCCAGATAGCAGAGTTAACAAGCAGGGCACTCAGAATTGCAACCGGGATCTCTCCGGTCCTCAAGCCCGAGCTCTAACCTCCACCCTACACTGGGCTCAAGGATACTTTGCATGCCTCTACAATTAACAGGAATCATGCCAAATTAGAGTTTGCTTCTTACACGCATTTCTGCCAAACTCTGAGCCTTTGAAAGTCCCGAATCTAGCCTATTCCTTTTGGAGCTCCTCTAGGAGAGGCAGCTGCATCTGAGCAACTCCTCCCTAGAACCAAGCTTTTCCCAGGTGGCATTTTACCCTTTATCTCACTGTATCCCTTTATCTTCCCTGTTTGTGAAGGATCACCTCTTGGTTTTTAAAATTGTTTCTGTGTTTTATTGAACTAATGTATGCATTCCTAAGTTGAAACAGGTGTTTAGAGAAGTTACATGACTAATCCGTCCAAGGAGCTCTAGAAAATAAGTGGTGGGATAGGACAAAACATGGCCTAACCTCAGGTGGGGATGACGTTCAACTCAGAGCCCCAGAATCGCCTGCAAGGGTCTCTGCCTTCCGACCCCAGGTGATTGCTTCACCTTCAGCACCACAGCTACCCCGACCATGCCTCACTGACCACAGATTGATCACTCCCTTGACTCTGCACTGAGGCCACACTGGCCAAGCCTCCGGTGACCTAAGATCAGGGAATAGCCTTTGCAGGATGATATTGGGTCATTGGAAAAGCCAAGACATATTTTTCTATGTTGTTCTATGCAAAAATACATCATGAGTTCTCCAACCACCCGCTAGTACCCTCTGCAGCTCTCTGGATTCTAAGACTTACCTTGTAACTGCCAAGGTCAGGCCCGCTTTCTTATATCCTTACAAGTATCAATCATGTCACATTTTCTACCACGCTCCACTACAAAGCAGTTACCAGACCGTCCTTTCATGGATACAGACTGCACCCCCACTGGACTGTGAACTTCTTGAGGGAAGATCTACCACAAAGTATCTCCATGTACCAAGAAGGTGGTGTTATGTAAATCCTACTCCTTTCCTTGGGCACTACAGGCCCCAATAAATACCCACTGAGTGAATGAACAATGGAAAGCCCCAAGGTCTCCCCGATACAAGGGTCTACTCAGTTGTCAGTGCCCAGTTTCCATCAAGGAACTCAGTCAAGGTTTGGGGCAGGAAAAGATCTAAACTTCCCAGCACAGCACGAGGGCCACACACCACCGGATCTCAACCATGACTCTAGGTATGGGTGCTGCAGCATGCCAGCTCTCCACCCCCAATCCCCGGGCCTTTTGCTGAGACCAGGAGCTCTGCCTCTAACTTCCCTATGGATTTCCCTCTATAGAGCCAGCAGGAGGTCACATGCCTGGGTCAAAACCTCCAGGGCCAGAGCACCCAGCTGCATGGAGACATACTCAGATCAGGAATCTCACTTCTACTCCCTCACAGAAAACAGAAGCTTGAGGACAGGTACAGCAAAGCTAGGAAGGCTCCAAGTCTTCCCCTCATACATTTCAACTCCCAGCACAGAGCAGTCACCCAGAAAACTGAAACAGTGTTGCAAAAGTCTACCCCTGAGTACTCCAGTGCTCACACGGGCCGCTCTGACCCTGTGCGTATATGATGTCTTGAAATGATGGAATGCATAGGTCTGGCCGTGCTAGGAGCTTGCGTGAAGCTGGGTGAGCACAGCATGCACACCCTGGGGTCAGCTCCATCCCTCCACTTACAGGATTCAGAAACCTCAGAGCTTCAGAGAACTTGGAGGTTCTCTGGGACAAGTCACTAACAGGGAGAGGCAAAAAGTGGACACTCTGCATTTGAGCGAATAACACCGTGGATAGAAAGCAGAGCCTCCACCAAGAATCTGGGACTATTGTCCTCTTTGGGGATTTACTAAAAACCCATGTAGAAAGTACACATTAGTGCTCCTGTTTTAGAAAGTAGGACAGTGTGGCCCAGGATGTGAACTGACATCTCCAGTAAGGCCTAGTTAGGAAAGAGTTTTTTTTTTGTGTGGAAAAGAGGAAAGCCGAGTGTGGAAGCCAGCTTCTCCTGGTGTAAAGCTCAGTGTGCAGGTTTCCAGGCCCGGGCTGTGCACCAGGGTCCCCCTGTCTCCTCGTGTCCTCTCTAGACCCCTTCCTCTACCTCCCCAATCCTGTCACTGAGGACCAGAGTCTCAGCTCGTGGCCTCAGAGATGCTCCTGGTTCTGTTACCATTTTCCCAGCAAATGCTGCGACTCTCAGCCGCACCTGTGAAGGAAGCCAGCCCCCACACCAGCATCCTCTCCTGGCCTCGTACCTGATCAGGGGCTGCTGCAGAGCCACCAGAGCAGCGTGGATGGTCACCGAGATCACCGACAGGTGGAAATAGTCGAACATGACCGGGACCTGGTGGTGCAGACCTTTCCGGGGGTGGAAGTGCAGGCCAAGCGTGCGGCTGCTGATCATCGGCGCCCCAGCCACATCCCGCAGCCTGGAAGGCAAGCCGGGAAGCTCATGTGAGTGACAGTGGGTTGTCCCTGCTATCACCCGGATGTCTATATTACAACCCCTCTGGGGCCAAGCATCAGCTTATTCCATCCTGCAAATATTCCACTTAGTAGAAACCATTTACCCCATGCTGGCCAGATGAGGAAACCAAGGCTCAGAGAGGGAAAGTACTGGCCAGGCATCACGCAGCTGCAAGGCGGCAGATCTGGGACGCTGGCTCTGCCGTCACTGCCACCAGTCCCACATCACAGGGGTAAAGAAGACGCCCGCACTCATTTCAGCACTCATCTCAACGCTGCGGCCCTCCTGGACTCCCTCTCCCTCCGTCTGCCCAGACGCCCAGCACTGCACTTGCCATGCTGCATGGGCTGCGTGACTGTGCTCCATTAGATTCTGAACTTTTTATTTTTAAGAATTATTTTATTTAACTTTTTTCTTTAAAAAATTTGACCAGAAAGGGAGAGAGAAAGAGACATAGAGAGAAGAGAGAGAAGAGAAAGAGAAAGTGAGAAAGCAAGCTTCCACGCCCAAGACTCAAACTGCGGTCAACCAAAGTGTGAGTCCGGCTCCCTTAACCAGTACGCCACCTGATGGCCCCAAGATTCTGATCTTCTAGGGACAAGAACTCTGTATAGCCCCAACACCTAGCCCAGTATGACATGCTGTAGAAACCGGTCAAGGGTATGTATTAACTAATGTATGAACTAACTCACTGACAATAAACAGAAGAGTGCATGGCTCCCAGAGCACAGTGGTAAAGGGTCTGACCAGATCCATTCCAGGGATTCCCTCACCCCTGCTCCAGCATTTTGTAATGTGTATGTGCTTGATTTCCAAAGCAGCAACCAACTAGCAAGCAGGGTTTAATGCTATCTTTGATTATAAAGAGCAGATTGACATTTCTCCAAAGAAAAGCCAGCCTTGTAACTCTCAGGAGGACTGCCCACCATTCATCAATCACTCAGGCTCTGTGAGTTTCGCTGAGGCAGAGCATGTGGGAACCTGGCTGGAGCACCTTCTAGGAGTCGGGCAGGGTAGGGATGTCCTTCCTCCATAAATGGGGAATCAAAGCACAGAGAGGAAAGGGTGAGTGGAGCACTCTGCCAGAACCCAACTGATGGGCTGCGGTTCCTGCAAGTCCTTGTTGCTTTTCTGCAAGTGAATGCCAAGTAAAAGCACACACTGCACCACTAGAGCCCAGATGATACAGACTACAAATAAAAAAATGCCAGAAAGTGAGCATTTGCTGAAGAGAGTCAAAGAGAGAAAGCAACGGTTCAATCCCTTCTTGATTTCTCCATCTTGTTGGGATTTAGAGCATGCACATGCGCCTGGTGTGATTTTCAAGCTGCTGGGGCTGGGACTAGAACTCCAGTCAGTCACGTGAGATCCAGTTCCCTTAACCGTAGGCCATGGGGCTGGTCCAATGATGACACTCTCTTTCACCGGGAAGAAACCTACCCTGTGAGTCTCGGAAAACCATTAACATTTACATTCGTTTTAACTATAACGAAAGTCTACTGAGATCTTACTAAGAATGGAAGATGGTGTTTGTTATTTTCCTCTGAATTCAGTGGATAATTAGGAGTATTCCATTTATAGAAAAGTAAGGCCAACATGGGCTACTTCACTTACACAAACAGGCATAACTGAAATGCTAGGCTCGCTCTTTCTAATCCCAGTCGGCTCTGAGTTACTGTTCAGTATTGCTTTGAATCCACACAGACACGGGCTCTTATGAATCATGAAAATATATTTAAGGTTCAAAAAATGAAAGGTTAGATAATGTCAGGATGGCAAAGATGTCAAAATGTGAACAAGAATTTAAGCCACACTAATAGACGTAAAACATTAGAAATGAGGGAGGTGATGACTCTTCTTGAAGGAGCTCTAAAATAGATACAACCAACTGATGAAGACAAAATTCAGTTTCTGGGGCAGGCAATGTCTCCAATTAGAAAAAGTAGAGATAAATTTGATAGCATTGAGAGCACATTGCCTAAGTTCTTTTTTTAGAATTATTTTATTTAACTTTATTTATTTATTTATTTAAATTTGACCCAAGAGGATGGGGGCGGGGGGAACAGAGAGAGAGAAAGCAAGAAACAAGCCTCTAGGTCTTGGACTCGAACTGTGGTCAGCCATGTGGGAGGTCCAGCACCCTTAACCATCATGCCACCTGCCACCCCTGTCTAGGTTCTTATAAAAAAAAAAAAACAACTAGAACAAACAGAATATCAAACAAACAAACAACAACAACAAAAAGCACACACAGAGAAAAAACCCTAGTATTGAACGTGGAGATGAAGAGGTAAGTCTCCCTTATATGAGATGTCACTGAGACCAAGAATTTTTCTGGGTGGTCACAAGAACTAAAATTGAAGTCAGGTACACAATGATGCATTGCTCCTGGAAATAAAAAAGAAGTTCCTGTCCCTTAGAACTGCTCAGGGACAGACTGGGGTGTGACAGGAAGGAGTGAGCTCCTCATTCCTGTGCAAGCAGGTGCGGGTAACAAGCGCAGATGTGAGGTCCCACTAGACCGGGCTTCTCAGTCTCAGTAAGATCGACTCTGCAACTGAGCAATGCTTTGTAGTGGAGGGGCTGTGCTGTGTGCTAGAGCATGTTCAGTAACGTCCCTGACCTTTACCCTCCAGACGTTAACACTGCTCTCCAACATATCCCCCCGCCATGACAACCAACGCCGTCTCCGGATGTGTCCAGATGTCCACCCACTGGAGAGCCACTGGATGAGATGGACCTTGAGAGCCGTCCCATCCCTGCTACCAGATGCCACATGCTCCTGCCCAGACTGTACGGTGTTACAGAGCCAGCAGACTGTGTGTCTCAGCGCCTCAGGTCCACCCCCAGGATGTGTGAGAGAAGCCTCATCACCCTTAAACCCAATTCATGAGAATGAAAAAATATGGCCTTTCCAGTCTTCCCCAGTTCCTGGCTTCCTGCTCCTCTTAGAGAATCTCACACTTCATGCAAAGCCTCTGAGTGCTTTGTATTAAGGAGAGGAAAGCAATGAAGACTGACCCCATGTGTACCTAGGAAGCCATAAAAAGGAAGAGGATACTTATTCAGAAGACCACACACTTGGCTTGTTATATATATATAATCTTTCTTGCAACAGAAGTATGAGATACATTTTCTGTAATGATGTCCATTCCGTAAGTGACGCTACTGAGACTGAGGAAAGGGCAGGGTTTTGCCCAATATTGCATTGCTGATGAGTGCAGAGCCTAGACTGCTCTGCTGTATACACGATCAGGCCAATCTTCTGTACACAGGCACTCCATTAACTACAGCCTTGGTGTAAGACGGTCTCCTTTAGTGTGCCCGCGATGGTTTATCATTAGGCTGTTTACAGGAGTGGTAGGAGAATGATTTCTAGGCTGGTAGGGTTCTGTGACAACTGGAAATGTGTCCTATAGGACTGCAGGTGAATGTCTCTGGAGGGAGAGAGGTAACTGGGAGTATGAATGATCAAGATCCCAGACAGGTGGAGAAGATATAACAGTGAGGGGTTCAGTTCTCAGTCTGTAGGTTGGGAAGAAGGCCAGCCTCCATGAAGGTCTCAGAGGTCAATATGACTCGAACAGCAATTATTGGGGATGCCGTGAGGCAGACAGGATTTCTCCAGCATTCAGGATTCCACCACGTGGGAAGCAGTGGTGATGAGAAGCAGGTGGCCAGAGATGTGGGTCCCAAATGAAGAAGAGAGTGAGGAATCTGCAGTATGAACGCAGTAACAGTCACAGGACCATGGACAGATACTCCTGCCAGCCCAGAGGCCAGGCGGGACCACAGGTCTATTCTCAATGCCCAGACTCACTGGCCTCTGACACCTCAGCAGAAGTCAAGCTTGGCTCAGATCCCTTCTGGCTTAACTCCCTGTGTTATAAGACACCTCTTAACAATTAGAGTTCAGAATTGGGGTCTTTGAAAAGGGAAGTCCTGAGAGGGAAATTGAACTTTGAAAGTGTGAGGGGTATAACGGCCCCTAGCTATTTACAGAGCACCTACTGTGTACTCAGCATTTTTCTGAGGGAACAGGGAGACAGCAGAGGAATTAAGTCACTAGAAAGTGGTTCTTGCCTTCCAAAACATCATCAAGCCTTTTTCTCTCTGTGTGTGACCCTGCAATGCCCACAGGCCACAGTGGGGAAGGAGCTGAGAAAGTAGAGAGCCCCCTCCACCAAATCCTGTTTCTGTGCTGGGAGTTTCCCAGCAGAGAAACCCTGAGTCGGAGGATGGAGGGAAGGGAGACAATGGAAAGAAGCTATCAACTGGATGAGAGTTTAGAGCTTCAGTATTATCCTTGGCCAGTTTTTTAATACCTGAGGAAAAGGTGACTTATTTCTCAACTGAAACACTCTAGAGAGGCAACGTGACCTGACGGTTCACTCCACAGTAGCGGGGCGAAGCCACAGAATGAGCTTAAAGGAAGCAGGAGACAAGAAAGGCGAGGAAGGA